CGGCCTCAAGATATTCATCTCCTTCTAGGATTGCGTCATAATCATCGTCGGGAGGAATTTCGTCGACGATGTCAAAATTTTCCGTAGAAGCTTCCCCAAAGCCTCCGCGAAGATCGTCGGGGGGGAATTCATCCTCAATTTCAAAATTTTCCACAGAAGCATCCCCAAAGCTTTCGCCACGCGCCAGTTCAACCATCTCGACACTCAAGTCGGAATCCGAGAGACTAGCGTCGTCAGTTGGGAAAACGACTTGGCTGTATGTCGCCGCTTGCCCCTGCCGCATTTCTTCGTCGCTGTAGTCGAATTCAATGTTATCGTCCCCCGCTAGGTCATCGCCAATGTCAAGCATCGGATCTGTCTCGTCGGTGTAGGCATCAATTCCATCGTCGATGACAATTTCCCCTGTCATGTCCACATCACTTTGTCGTCTCCCTTTAAACGAGTTCAGGAAAGGATCGCTGTCACTAAGAGAATCAATGCTATCGGCCAAAGAAAGATTTCCTTCACTGCCACGTCTGTCAGGACCGATAAGATCCTCAATATCCATCTCTGGTCCTTCCGTGACGGCATCCCCAGCCTCCCCGTTGGCTGCTATTTCCGGTGGAGAAGCACCCCCCGGCTCTTCGTCTTGTTCATCCGAGCTGTCCGGTTCGTCGATATTTGGATTGTGTGGTTCTAGAGCAATTAATGCTCCTAAGGCGGCAATCGAAGGCGCATCTGTAGATTGTGGAGCCGCAGTTTCAAACGGCGAAGTTATTCCATCGTCGTCCTCGTCGTCGCTATCATCAATCGAATCGCTTTCCTCTAGATGAATTTCTTCCTCGGCGGAACTGGTCTCGGTCAAGTCGAAACTAGGGTCACGGGTGAGGGAAGCTACGCCAGTGTCGTCCGTCTCATCCGTCTCATCCGCATCATTTGTTGAATTGTTGTTCCCCTCTTGCCTTGTGGCTGAATCGTCGTCCATTTGATGATCATCATCGCTGCTTGTGGATTCCTCCAAACTATGCTTTGTTTCGATCGAAGGGATGGTACTTGAATTGTGATCGGAAGACTCTTTTGATTTTTCTCCCGAAGTCCGCCGTTCCGTGTGTTCTTCCGAATTCTTGTCTTCTCCTGCTGTGTCTTTCGAAGCAATGCTATCTCCGGTGGTTTGGCCTGGATCTTGTTTTCCCTCGTCCTCGATTCCGTCATCGTTGTGTTTGTTGCTGTCTGATTCTGTTTCTGTTTCGTCAGCTGCTGACTTGGTTACTTGCTTCTCTGAAATTTCGCCATTTGCTCCATCATCAATGCTGCTACCTTCCTTGTCACTTTTCTCTGGTTTGCTGTTGCTGTTGTTCTGCTTGTATTGCTTTATTCGCTGGTCGACATCCTCGGTAAACTTTTTCAATTCCTTCCGATCCGGCAACTGAAAGGTGTGATTTTTCCCGGATGCAAGTGTCACTTTGAGCATGGCCTTTGCAATTTTGGGAGGACTGGCTTGGTGTTTGTCCACTTTGGCCCACAGAATGGTCAATGATTTTCCGCCCTCTTGCTCGTATACCAGCTTCTCCGCCGAGAGTGTGACGATTCCGGTAGTGGAATTGAACGTCACATTGGAATAGGTAGTGGTTGTGTCACCACCAATATTCGTCGTCGGAGCATTTTCCTTTTCCTCATCATCCTCTGGTTTACTACTGGATTGTTGTTGTTGATTCATTGAATTCGACTCTTCCAATCGCAGTGTGATCTCGGCCACGAGTTTGTCGAGCAGGGTTCGATTTTTCAATTGAAACATGACGGTCGAACCGTCATTGGCGGTGATTTTGATCATTGCCTTTTGATTTTTGGGTGGATTGGCTTGGTGTTTGGTGATGGCGCTCCAGGCAATGTTGGTTTCGGGCAAATCCTTGGCATTTTTGGGCTTGAAACACAGCTGATCGTCCGTCAGAGACATGGAGCCAACATCCGTACCACGCTTGACTTGATATACGGATGATTCTGTCATGATTGCTTGGATTGCCCCCCAACAACACACACCCAGGCAAAGTCAGCCACCCCCTTTTGTCAATCCTCAAGCCCTGGTCCAACAACTAACGTTTCAATTTCCTTCGTCGTTGTACTGGTTATGGACGGCTCATCTTTCGTGACTGGCCTATAGATAGCTAGCTAGCTCTGAAATATTAACGTAATGCTCTGATCGTGCTCCTGTGGCAATCCCTGCTTTGTGTTGGTACGTAGCTGTGGTGGTCGAGGACGACAGCAACAACAGTTCGGAAGGCCGAAACAATAATGAGACAGCAGTCTGCTGTCGTGCAGCTTCGGCTGAAAAATTGGCAGCGCGACGGACTGTGAGTCGACTGTTTAGGCGAGTGCTCCCAATTACCGGTGTAATACAAAAGGACTTAGCATAAATGAGCTGGCAGAGACTCAAGCTCAAGTAATGTTAAATAATGAAACTAATAATAATGCAAAGTGACGCACCATTCCTGTTTCATTAAATCTGAACAAGCTGGGTCAAGGCGGCTTCAAGGCTCGCTTCAGAATTATTGTTCACAAACGCGATCGTACAACGGTCACGTCTCCTACGGAAGAGAAAGATGCTGCTGACCGGACCATAGAGAAGCAGAGGAAGCAGATACCAGTACTGGCTAGTAGTTGTTGTGTTTGTGGAAAGGATCTACATAGAATCGGCGCTGCGACTGTAGCAAGCTAGCTAGTAGAGGTCAAGGTCAAGCTTGTTAGTTGGAAGGAGATAGATTGGAGGTTGACAAATTGAGCCCAAAACGATCGAGTGCTGTAAAAGCAGGAGCCTCGACGCCGCTCAACCATGGCCAAGAAAGCGTCCAAAAAGCCCGCCGCCACTGCCACTAAAAAGAGCAACAAACCAAAGCAAGATGATCAGCCGAAAAAGCAGCCCAAACAACAACCAAGAGTCATCCAGGTGTCTCCAAAAATTCGCAAAGTGACGAATCGATTGAAAGAGCTGGAAGACGAAAAGGCCAACTTGGAGCGCATGATGGAACGACTGAAACGGGCCAAGAAATACCAAAAGATCAAGGACGAGGAAGACAAGGCCGCCGAAGCCGCACTTGCCAACAACAATAATACCAAGAATCGAAATAATAATCGACCCAGAACCGAGTCGTTTTCGGAAGATGCGTTCTCGGAGGAGGGTGGTGAAAGCTTGAGCAGCGACGACGAGAGTCGGCTCTATCCGACGTATACTACTAGCAACAACAACAACCACAACGACACAAAGAAGGCCAGCTATCGACAATTTGACGACGATGGATTGTCCGTCATGACAGAAGATATCTATCAGTACGATGCGAGAGGAAGACGAGTCACGGAGGAAGATCTTGTTATGGAAGATACCGAGACACTCTTTGCCTGTTACCAACACATTACCGGACGCAACAACAACGATGCCGATGATGATAGCGATCAATCCACCGCACACAACACTAGTCGATCGAGAAAAGACAAGAAAAAGAAGAGCCGGCGCCACGAATACGGCGGCGAAGAACCCAATGTCATGATTGAATGGAAACGCGGAATTACCTACAAACCCGATGCCAATTTGGCCTATGACGCTGGCAATCCTCATCATCCGGCCGATCTCAGTTTGATTGTGGCCGATGATCAGTCGAATTGGGACGAAGAATTGTCCTTTAGTTCGGGAGATGATTCTAAATTGGCTGCCGCCACCACGGACATGCCGCTGCAAATTCAACTGTTGGACGCCATGTCCGTCCACTCGGGGTTGCACAGTGAATGCAGTGTCTCGGTGGCCGCGGCACCCACTGTCAACCACAAAAGCAGCAGCAAATCATCATCACAACAACAACAGCAAAAACCATCTACCAAAAGTCTATCCATGCTGCACAGCAAACGGCAACAACAACAATCACACAATCCTCAATTTCTGTATCAACGGAATAGTAGTATGGACGATTCTCATGATTCACACGACTTGCACTCGTCGTCAAGACGGAGACGGAGACCCGGAAAAGAGGAACCACCGCCATTAACGTCGGACATGTCACTCTTGGACGAACGGGACAATAAGGACAAGCCATCACACGACAATAAGTCCAAGCGAGATGAACCGCCTCCCTTTGAAATTACCTTTTCGGGATTGTCCAAGAGCAATAGTGTGGACAGTTTGGGGTCCGAGTTGGGTGGGGTCAGTTTGGCGCCAGAGCCGCCGAAAAAGGAACAATCCAAGAGTTCCGCCAAGGAAACCAACCATCATAATAACAATGCGAATAGCAACAAGAAAACGCCAGCGTTCAACAGCAAGAAGAAAAATAACAACAAAAAACCCAAGCCACCACCGCCGCCGCCCAAAGAACCTCCCGGCCCAGACACAAACATGTTATTGGGGGATCGAGATTCCGAGTCGGAAGAAAATGAATTGAGTACGGGTGATTTGGCATTTTCCGTCAAGGACAAGGAAGAATTTGCCAGGAATAAACAACAACAGCAACTAGAACAGGCGAATGCTAGTCCGAAACCAAAGGGACACGAAAAAGGCGCAGCTACCAATAATATGAAACCACCTGCCAAAGCCACGAGACGATCGTCCACAGGAACTACGCCGCCCAAGAAGCGAGCACAACAACCAAATACTTGCACCACGGAAAGTATGCATAGTTCCACGTCGACATTGGGAGGCATGACCGGGGTTGACACTGAAGCATGCGTGGCAGCACCGAAGCGAGCCACCGTCTCCTCGCCGCCTCGAAAAAACAAAGCGAATAATGGAAGATTATCGCCTACTCCCAACAACAACAACAAGACGACAAAGGGGCGCAGCAAAGCAGCGGGAAATGGTGTCAAACGAGGCGAAAATCTAAAACGAGAGAATTCCAATTCGACGTGCGGTTCTTCCATCACGTCCGTGCCCGGTGCAGTGGACAACAATGCACGGGCATTGGTGATTGAAGGAGAAGCTTTCGTGAAATAGTGGCCAGAGGATTGCCAGTCATCTACTGAATCCTCGTCATCTGTTGCAGGGCCACAACGTTATGCTTCGGGACAGTGTCCCTGAGTCTCTGGACCCAGCGCGCATTCGCAGTCAATCCGATTGATTCCATGCAGAGAAGGGTGCTGAGGTTCCGCCCTTTATTTATGCACGCGGAGAGACTCAACAATTGGCGCTGTGGACGGGAACGCCTGATATCGCTCTGGCCTATCCACTAAGGCTTGGTTCGAAGGCTACCGGTAGCGAAGTCTAGTCTACAGTTTGTTGTTGTCTGGGATCAATGGCGATTGTTGCTTCGTAATTTTTAATTAATAGGCACGGCTCTGGCGCTGACTTATCTATTGGATCAAAAAATTGGTGACTTGAGCGTCGTAGGTGGCATCAGGTGTCTGATCATTGTACACAATGAAGATGTCTTCAGGGAAGCCATAAACCTTGTTGTAGCGAACCTCAATGTACTTGGCATTTTGACTGTAGGCATTTCGGATGCGTTGGAAAAATTCCTCCATAGTTTGAGGGTGGGGTTCGTACAAGATTTGGTTGTGGTTGCCATCAACACCAGTGGCCGTGTGACTGTTTTGCACATTGACAGCCCAGGGATAAACGATATTGTGGGGGTTAGATCCAAGCTGACTGTATTGGTACTTGTAGTTGGGAATGGCATGGGACTTCCATAGTGCTTCTGCCTGAGCTAGTTGTTGCACGCTGGTGGGATTTTGGTTCCTATTGGCGGGCGCGTTTTGTATTTGAAAGTTGGTGATATCTACATCGTAGATGCTTCTGTCAGCCAAAACCATGTAAATCATCTGGGGGTATCCCTGCTGGGGATTATACTGCACATCAATTTGGATTGCTGTTCGGGTGTTCAGTTGATCCTCGATGGTTTTGAAAAGTAGATCAACAGTGGGGGGAGCAGCCCAATTGATTTGGTTGTGATTACCATCCTTGGCAATTGGAGCATTTGGTGGATCAACAATAACAGTCCATGGATAGACAGTGTTCAATGGGTCAGGACCATGCTTTTCATAATCCAACTGGTAGCGTTGTGTCCCTACGGACTTCCATAGGGCTTGTGCTTTCTCAAATTGCTCATGCTCTGGAAGAAAGAGATTTTGTGCTGCCACATGGCTACTGTTTGCTGTAATCAAAGCCATGAGGGCAAAGAACGCAGGTGATGAGCAAATTGTCTTCATTGTTATCTTGTTGTGTGTTTGTTGTTTCTGGCTACTGCTTGTTGTGAGCTTCTCGAGATGTTTGTTTTGTGAGCTTCAGAAGAAGTTGAAACTCAGCCTGCCTCGGGGGGGGGGTCGAATCCATCAGTCCCAGTTGGCAAGAAAGCGGGAAAGAAACTGGTTGGCTATCTCTGGGTATCCACTTACAGTACTTGGTTGGATACGTACGAGGAAAGTGACCATGCACGAAGGAGGGCAAGTGATTAAAACCTCCGCTTGGTACTGGCTACTGGCCAGTATCATGTACCACTAGCCAAAAAGGAGATCTTTGGACATCCCACATCCCACTGTAATAAACTAGATAAGCTCGATAATGCGAGTGAGCAGTTTATTTCAGGTATCTATCATGTCATTACCAAGCTTTCCAGCAACCCTCCTTCGCAATGTGACGGTACATCACAGCCTACATGGCGGAGCTCTTGGTGGCACCTAGCTTGGCAGAGATTAGTCTAGTCCAGCTAGCTGGCAATGCAACTATAGCCTATAGCAAAGTTCCAGTAAAGTCAAGTCAGCTTTATCATTAGAGAAATACGTTTCCTAGCATCGTTTATCTGGCTAAAAGCTACGCATCTCCTTTATCTCTCTGCCTATCGGCTGAACCTTCTTGTTTGCTGGTGCTGGGCCATAATGTCGGACTGTGCTTGCCACAGTGTGCTGCCTGTGAAGCCCATGCCCACGCCGTGATGTTGTCCCTCCCTGTCAGCCATGGCTGCCTCCAATTGACTCACTGTCCTGCAGCAGGGGCAAACAGAGTACCTGGCATCTTCGATGCAAAACAGATCTGCGGTGCAGGCAACACAAGTAGTTGGGACAAAGTAGTCGTTCCTGATGGCTTCCAACGTTTCTTCGCTTGTGCGAAGCGGGATGGACACACCAGGGGCAATCTCCACCATGGTTCTTTCCTTCTGGCTGCTGGGCCCAGCAACACATGTAGCATCAAAGAAAGGGGGGCAAGCGCTCTCCGGCTCGGATCTGTCCTCCATGACGCCGTGGAGAGTGGGTGATCTACGGGGCATGGCGGGCGGGGCTCGATCTTGGATCCTTGGAGAATGGGTTGATGGCATTCTTGTGGGTCTTTCAGGTGCCGAAGCTACACTGCCTCGACGGTGAAACGGCAGAGGGTCTGACAGGCATCGTGGCGGCAGCGAGGATGTTGACCTCTTTCCCGAGTCGCTGAAATGAGTGGAACGAGCTCGTGCGGGAAGGCGTGGTGGTCCTGCGCTGGTCCTGTTGTGGACTGAATCTTGTCGGCGTGGTATCATCGCTGGGGAAACACCATCGTGTCGGTTCTGGGACCATCGAATGGCTGGGTCACTCCAAGAATCACAACTCATGCTGTAGGTAGTCGAGGTGATGTCGGTATCGCAACAGTCTTCGTCTTGATAACTTCGAATGGGGGCAATCTTCACAGGATCCAGGCTTGAGAAGTGCTGGGCTTGTTCTACTCGATAACTGGCCTCTTCTTCCCCGGCATAACTCGATGAAGCTCCCATCTTTTCTTGAGGATACCTTGGTTGTTGCCTATAAACGGAGCAACGTTGCCTTACAGGAGGAACGTTCGAGTAGTAGTCGCTTTGGCGTTGGCTGAACATGTTGGGTATGTTTCTTTTGAGAGATTGTGCTTCAGAGTTTGCGTGTTGTCTTTCTGAGCGCTACCACTGGACACTGGATGTGCTAGTGGCTGTCTTTTTTCTACTTGGGTGAGTAAAATTGTGATAAAGCCTCCAGCTCACTACAGAGCTCAGCTAAGCCCCAAGATCTATCTGTTTGCAAGTCAATAAATGCATGAACCGGTGGTCGGGTGGTCGGGTGGTCGGGTGTTGCATTGACGTTATACACTGATGGCGGGATTCTGTAATTCTTTGAGCAGAAATACCTAGTCATTCCAAGATTCACAGTTCGTGAAAAGTAAGTCTACTCGCTCCTTCGAAGTACTAACTCGCTGCTCCTAGAGTAATAGACTTATTAGCAAAAGGGAAAGCTTGGTGAAACACTGTGTCGCTGCCATTATTTATTTGTGGAAAGTGGAAAGTGGAAAGTGGAAAGGCAGTCACACAACTTTCTTAGCAATGTCCATGGAAAGTGAAAGAATAAACGAGGAAGAAAAGAACTGGAAGTGGGGTAGTCAACACTTAATCACGGTTTCCTGAAACGGTCATTCCACAGATCGAGTGAATAAAGGGAACGACCCCCGACTAAAGCCTTCCGCTCTCTTGTACTTACGGTACCCGTACTTCCTACTTACGAGTACTTCTTCTCTCTTGGACTAGCACTTGTGCATTGTGCAAGAACCGGTACCATACCACCCACCGGAACCATCCACCACCCTCCTCCCGTACCAATCCGCAGTGCCAGTGCTGTATTGTCCGAAAACTGCAGCTTTCTTTATCCTTTATTAATTGCTGCGTAAGGGAGGTGCGGATGAGAGATATAGGCAAATAGGAAGCGTCTAATCTTTGTTTGGAAAAGGAAGTGTGGGGCAAGTTGAAGCATCCCACTATCCACTATCCCGCCAAACTAGCTAATATTATTATGGCAGCGAGGAGAGGAGAATGGAGAATATGAACCAAATCGAACCTCGTTTAGTTTTTGGCAACTATGTGCATGTACACTCGACTCGGAATGCAACAATACGTAGTGCGATGGTAGAGATTCGGAATGAGTCAATCTGGCGAAGGGTTGCGGGTTGTTGCAGGAAGGAGAAGAATCTACCTGTAGCATACTCAGTACTGAGTAGCTATTAGAAGCTGAGGTTCGACGTGGTTCTTCAGACTGCTGCCTATTACCAGCGCATTTTTGTCTCCGTCAGCAACCACCGGTACTAGTAGCTCAAAGTTCAAAGGCAACTGAGTAACTGAGCCCAACCTATCCCCAAACCCCTGCTAGCCTGCTAGCCAGCCTGGGATACCAGCACCATCTCGATACCAGGTGCTTGCTTAAAAACGGCCAATTTGCGGGACAGGAAAGACAGAGTTCTTTGTTCGGGTTGCCGAAGTTGTGGATGTGGAGTTGTACAAGTCTGGACAAGACGTGCAATACCAATGACGGCAATGACGGTGGTTGAAAATAGATTTACTGTAGACAACAACTATTAAAATACAGTAGTATTATTTTAAGAGAAACGATGGTGCTTCCCAAGATCCCATTATTAATTCTGGTAAATAGTCATTGTTCTCCCCTCCTTCTCAGAGAATGTCCTCTTGTGAAACTGAGTCTGGCTTCTTCAACTCGCAACTATTCGTAAGATGACCTTCAATTAATTGATCCTTAAAACAGCACAGACGCGCGGTCTGTTATTGATGTCAAGCTCGAGCAATCAAGCCCAAGTCCATTCTCCGCTATGGGATTGATTCGATTCTGTTCGTGTCATCCATGCAACATCCAACCAGCGGCCAGGTGGACTGTGGAAGCTGGTAAAGAATACAGTACCACAGCAAACCCAGGAAATGTTGGACTGCAAGCTATCGTATGCAAACTTCGACGAGCGACTACACTTACTTGTGTACAGGCTCCTCTCAGGAGCATTGAGCTTTTCGAATGGTACCAGTACCTGTGTCTGCACCGGTGCTGTTTGATGTTAATGCCCAGGAACAGACGCGCTTGAAGTTGTGAATTTGTCGGCTCTTAACGCCCACTCCCACTCCATCACTCAGTCCACCCAGTTACATGTAGCATCTTGCCATCTTGCCGCCTTCTTTCTTGGAATTCAGGTCTAGCTAGCCAGTTGTTAGTAGTAAGTAGGTGCTGGAGGACTCTAGCTAGAGGACTGCGGTTTCCAATGTTGCTGGTTCAAATAGTATTTCATGAATTGGTCCAATTAGGTTCATGAAACGGTTCACGAACCGCACGTTCATGAAGTGGTTCATGGGGTTTGGGGGGTTAATGAACTAGCTAAGTTCAAGGTTCATGAAACTGCACAATTTGACGAACTTTTCCACTCATATTGGTTCATGAGCAATCTTCACCAAAAATGAGGCAACTCATGTCTACTCCAGAGCAGCAAGCAGCATTTTCCTTACTTGCACAACCACTTTCAATCAAACTAACCACCAGCTACCACTTGTGCCAGGTTTGGTGACCCAACGTATGGCCGTCTTGTTCCCAGATGCAAGCATACCACCTGTATTTGCTAGCCATAACCCTAGGATTTGGTTCACGAACAGGTTCATGAAGAGGTTCATGGGGCTGCTAAAATTTGGGTGTTCATGAACTTGTTCAGTTCATGAGCGTAGCGTTACCCGAACTATTTTCATGAAGGTTGTTCATGTCCAAAACTAAATGAACCAGCAACACTGGCGGTTTCCGATCTGCGAAGCAACGAATCGAATCTGCTCATCCAGAAGCTCTGAAAGGTTCTTGCATAGCGTCCATTTGCCCCCAACGAAGCCTCTAAAAAAATTATGGATTGAAGGGTTGGCGGTGTGGCAGACAAGTGCATCCCAAAGACAACATTCGGTGTGCACGGGGACATGTGTAGCAGGCTAACATTGGTTGAGACAAAGATCAAACTATAAGGTAAGCATTCTCGTAGTATCCCTTCTCGCACCAAACCAAAATCGCATTCCTCCTTCTTTACTACGGCAGGTCAAGCCAATTGTTGAAACCTCAAAAGTCCATTTTTTCATCTAGCTCACGGAACCTTTTGAAAAAGGTCTTGAACAGCTCCACTCCGTGTGTCACTGCAAAGCACAACGAGAGTCCAGGCAACATGCGAAGTTAAGTCAGACCTTCCGTACATCGCAACTGCCGCGGGCTACACTCATCACAATCACACTTACAGTCCATGGTACCCATGACTTCTCTGCATGAATGCATGGAAAGCTGAGGCATGCCAGCATCGACAGTTCTCACTCCTGTGCGAGTGGAAATGGTTGGGCCAATTGTAGAACTGCAGTAGAGGGGAAAGTCATGAGATACGGACGCTCAGGTACTTGGTTGCAACTCTTATCTATCCCCAGACGCGCCACCATCGTTCTGACTTACCCACATGGACAATCATTCCTCACACAAAACTCTTGGATAGGCAAACTACCCATCCGAGCCAACTCCCGAAGCACAAAACCGGTCACTCCGTTGGTTGCATAACGCTGATTCTGATTCGTCTTGATGACTAGACCCGCATTCATTTTGGGAGCGTGTGTAGCTTCGTGCTTTCCTGCATAGTTTGGATGGACCGCGTGCGCTTGGTCAATGCTTAATATGAACGATTTGTTGATGGTCTGCGCATACAAATCCGGCGAATCGGCTCCACTGCCAAGCCCTGCCGAGATGCGGCGGATGGCTTCTTCAATGACGGGCGACCCGGCCCCATGAGAAGAGTCACTGCCAACTTCCTCATGATCAAAGAATACTACCACCTTGATATCCTCATCATCGGCAAGTCCATCCTTGGTATGAGCCAGGATCGCCTCCATAGCCACAAAGACGGTCGCCAAGTTGTCAAGTCGAGCGGAGTAGAGGAACTCCTTGGCCACACCCCCAAGAGCGGCCCCTTGAGTATCGTACAAATTCAACTCGAAATCGGCAATCTGTTCCACCGGAATACCAAGCTTTTCGGCAATCAACTGTAACAACAAGGGCTCCTGTTGTGATTTCCAGGAATCTTCCGTCTTGTTCAGTTGTTCCTCCGTGCTTTCCTCCAAAACCTTTTTCATCTCGGCCTCTGTGGCCAAAATAGGGCTAGTGTGATCTTCCTTGTTGACCTTGAATGCTTTGCGCTCTTCACCTGATTGCAAATGAATGCAAAGATTGGATACGCGGGCTACTGGATCTGTAATGTTGACTAGTTTGGATTCGATTTTGCCATCTGGAGATCGCACTAAAATTTTGCCACTAATGCCCAAGTCGCTTCAGATGGAAAAAGAAAGACATGAAACGAACAAAACACGTGATGTTAGCCACTCAAAAAGATACGAAATGATGATTGTCCGCAATCTCCTGATGGATCGCTCTTTTTCTGAATAACGAAATGAGATAGATCTACCAGTACTCACCGATCAAACCAAGTATTCCACAATCCTCCTCCATAGCATTCTACACCCAACATGATGCATCCATTCTTGGGTGGTTTCAAACTACGAGGCTTGACCTTCAAGTTGGGACTATCCGTATGTCCTCCAATTACATGAAAACCTCCTTGTCCAGGCACGTATTTCTGTCCCACTGTAAATGCCACCAGCGTGGACTGATGAACGGTGTAGTAGTACTTGCCACCCGCCTCTAGATTTCCTGTAAAGGCGGCCTTGTTTTGCAGAGCACGAAATCCCGCCTGTTCCAATTTCTTTACACATTCGGCCACGGCATGAAACGGATCTGGGGATGCCGTCAAAAATTTGCAGGCATCTTCGGCCAGAGGAAGATGCTTGGCGTAGCTGGATGTCAATCGTTGCAGCGTGGAAGACATGGCGCTAATCTAGTAAGGCAATGTCTTCGATTGGATCGCTATGGTGGTTTCCTTGATACGAGCACGTAACAACGTCTTCGTCAATGATACGGTAGCTTGGGCTCTTAGCTTGGAGGTGTCAGGAGTCGGGAAGTGTGTGTGGTCTCTTGCTCGATTGTGCTCTGTGGCACTCCTGCGGCCGTTGTTGCCACGCATCGTCGAAGATCCAAAGCCATGCAAAGGATTTCGCTCCAATCAAAACATTAGTGCTAACCCTATTGTTGGAGGTACATTCAAAAGTGGCTCTGCCAGCTTATTTCATCAACTCGTTGAGCTTTGAGCTCTCAGTTCGATGTTTCGAGAATGGTACTGTACTGTATCCAGCAAGCTAGCCTTGGCTTGCGTAATCATGGCTATGGCGGGTGGGACGATTCCTTTTGATATTCGGTGAAGCCAGTTATTGGAAGCAGTTCCTTATCGTCATGTTCCGATATCTGATTTCGAGGAGATGGATGATAAAGGAGGCGTTGTCCACGGCCACATAATTCCTGGTTCCCTATGAATTATGTATCAAAGTCATGCATCCCTTGAGCTGCGTCTGTTTTCCTTCTGAAGAATGTCGGTGGATGAAAGAGACGCAGAAATACCCATGTGTCGCATCGGTTGCCTACAAAGATTCCTTTTCTGCTCGGAAATGAGAATGGAAACCTCCTTCCAGACTCATGAGAATCACTCAACACGAGCAAGAAAGCGGCTTGTTGATGCCAAGATCGATAGGGGAAGCATGTCGGATGGAGCTTTGGTTGCTTTTGGCCGGTGTCATCTTCGGTTAGTTGTTGGTGGCTTGAAATGGGCGTTGGCAGCCCCTTTCCCTTTGTCATTGGTCAATGTCAACGGTGGAAGCGGCAAAATTCCAATTTAAACTCTATCGCTAAAACGAGAAGGTCTGTGGAGCTCGGAGGTCTGTGCGTCGCTCCTCCATTCCGACTGACGAAGTTGAGACTTCCGGTTCCCCCGGTTCTCTGGGGCTCTTGGATCGCCGGGCAGCTCTTTTGTAGGTTGCTGGGGTGAATGTATACTACTTAAAGTAAATATAAACGATTATTATACCTCATCTACCTTTTGGCTTGTTCGCCGGCCAGTCCGTGATGTCTCTGGAGTGATGAGATTGGCAACTCACGCACTCCCAATTCAATAATCCCCTTCCCTTGAAAAGTGCTTTGGAAATTATTTGCGCTGCCTTTCAAAAAGCCACACAAACCTCCTACCACAGCTACGTCCTGGTACAGTTCAAACACAAACCCAAGGTAAGTTGCAATGAGTACTAGCTCCTACAGGTGTAGTAGCTCTCGCCGTACAATAAACGAGATGATGTATGTTGTGAGGCGTGGCCAGTTGAGTTGTCATAGGTTCAGCGAAGCTTGCTTGCTTCTTCTTTCTTTCATCCCCTTCAATATGATATAAAGAAGGAGCAACAACTCCGTTGGATGATCAATCAATCGTGTCCGCAACACCATGTTGTCGTTGTCTGTCCTTGCTGTTGACGCTTGGATGTCGGCGATGTGATGTGTTGCCAGCCGCCACCACCAATGCCAATGGATGGCAGTGGTCGACAGGTGCCAACGGCTTTCCACTACTGCTGGTCAACGCCAATCCGACCTGCCATTCCTGGCGGCGGTCATCGTCCTCTGTACTGCGGTGCTTTAAACCTCCACCATGACGGCATCTCAACTTGACCGATTGTTGTTGTTGTCTCCTTTCCAGTAAACACTGCTACCGCACACATCCAGAATAGATCGCGAGCAAGCAACAACAAGGAAGAGCTAACATACAACGGAAGAGCTACACTCTCCCTCTAACCAAACCCAGTATAAGAACAACAAGCAACAATGGCGAAACGTCCCGCCCGTGACCCCGGAGCCCCCAAGCGGAACATGTCCGCGTACCTTCTCTACCAGAATGCGATGCGCGAACAGTTCAAGGCGCTCAATCCAGGCATGACCTTTGGACAGTTGGCCAAGTACACGTCGGCCATGTACTCGGAGCTTCCTCCCTCGGAAAAGGAGGCCTGGGTCGCTCGAGCGGAAGCGGACAAGGCTCGTTACCTTCACGAGCTCGCGTCGTATGTGCCTCCTCCCGGCTACGACCCCAAGGGAGATGCCATTGTCTCACCCGTCAACACCAAGGGAGGTCGCAAGGGAAAACCCGAGAAAGACATTAACGCTCCCAAGCGAAACATGTCGGCCTATCTCTTGTACCAAAACGCCATGCGCGAACAGTTCAAGCGAGAAAATCCCGGCATGACCTTTGGACAACTCGCCAAGTACACTTCGCACATGTACAAGAACTTGACTCCGGAAGAGAAGGGAACTTGGGAAGCTCGTGCCGCTCAAGACAAGGCGCGTTACGATGCCGAAATTGCTGCCTACGTGCCTCCTCCTGGACACGATGCGCGTGGAGTCTTGATTGAAGATCATCGTCCTCGCAAAAAGAACAACCGCCGCCCCAAGGACCCGGCCGCTCCCAAGCGTGCTTCTGGGGCCTATGTCTTTTTCACCAATGAGATGCGTCCCAAGGTGTTGCAGGAATTTCCCGGAATCAAGTTTGTCGAACTCGGCAAAGTTCTCGGGGAACGTTGGCGTGCGTTGACGGCGGAGCAAAAGAAACGCTATGAAAACATGGCGGCGGAAGACAAGGTCCGTTTCCAAATGGAAATGCAGCAGTACACGGCGAGGCAAGCCGAAGCGGCTGCTCCTCCTCCAGCGCAAGAGCATTATTTTCACGATCCTACGGCCCACACGTACGATGCCTTTGATCCCTACGGTGCCGCCAGCAGCCATCAACCACAGTTCCACACCTAAAGGAAGGATCGTGCTTCTTATTGGGGCGCCAACAATGAAGAGGAGGAGGACGAATAAAGATGGGAGAAAATGACGGATGGATTATGTCTCTTTGTGTTTTTGTCTACCAGCCAACCAACCAGGGGTCGAGGTATGAGCGGTGGTGGACTATAGTATGTATTGACATTGTTTGCAAGACAAGGAGACAGGAGCAGAGAGAAAACGTAGAGGACGACAAGACCGAAAAAACGAGAACGTAACCCGCAATCGACGGAGTTTATTTCATACATAATAGTAATTTGAATAAGGAAGCTGTATGCCAAAGGAACCTATCATACCAACAGGAGGAAGCCCACGACGCTAGTCCATCATTTGTTGTTGTGACTCTCGTAGAACTTGCATTGTACAAAAGTCCAGCTCCTTTGGCAACCGGAACTCATAGTTGCCTTCATTTCCAAACAACAGGCCTCTTGGCGGCCATGAGTCTGCTCCCGTGATGCCAGAGTCAAGGTCCTCGTAGTCTGTATAGCCCTTTGCCACCATGAAATCAAATGCCTCCTTGTATGGTTTGTCAACATTTACTTTCAATTCAATAATCACAATGCATGGACGACTGTCAGGGTCCGAAAAGGTAGCATTGCCTCCTCTGAGAGATTCGTATTCGGCTCCTTCCAAGTCAATCTTCATAAAGAAAAGGGTGCCTCGAGTGTGTGCTGACATGACCATGTCAATAGTGACAATGGGAACGCGTAGTTCTGCTGTGGTACAAGAATCTGCTTTGGTAGTGACAGTGTCCATCACTCCTGGTTTGTCTGTCCCGTCGTCACAGAGCACAGGTCCCTTCCATGCATTGTCCGATACTAGTGGTGGCGATTTGGCTTCATTGGGAAAGCGATCATTTGACATGACAGCAGCATTGAGACCATGGACCCGATCCACCAATCCAGGGTTTACCATGAGATGCTTGTACATGTTTCTGAAGGGAGCCGCATTGGCTTGAATTGGAACGAGCCGACTTCGAGGGGCATACATCCCTGTAGCCAATACCCAATCAGCATAGGCACTACCGAGGTCCAGCATGAGAAATTGAGCTTGTCGAAGTGCAAATTGGTCGATGCGCTCAAACAAACGCTTCTTGAGCCGACACTCCCAGCGGTATGGATGGTGAGAAGGTCTGAGTATATTTCCACAGTAGTTGATGGGAGGCAGGGTGCGTCCAAAGTCACAATTGAACCTGTTGTCTCGTGGGGCAGATACAACTTTGGTGACATCAACAATGCTGGTGCCTTCTGGACAATGTGTAGTTTGAGACACAGTGTGTTTCTCCAGCCACTGAATGACTTCCTTTGTGGCTTGGCGGGGCTTCTGTTGGCCAGCAAGTGAACCTGTTCCCCAGAGGTGTTTACATTCACCTGCATGGGCATACTGCTTGTTCAATCCCCATCTGTTGTGCTTCCGAGTACCGTATCTAAGTCACGAAGACGACGTCTTTCTTCCTCCTTTTCTACGGTGGAGGTGCCAGTCGTGTTAGGATCTTTGATTTCGTTCGGTTGGTATCTTGAGCAACCATTCTATTCCGGAACCTCGCTTTCATCCATCTCAAGGACTTGCGAGGCAGGCAGCTTTGGAATCACAAATAGCATCATGGCTATCAACGTTGCCGTAGAGATTGGCAAGCGCCTGTTTATCTGGGGCGTCCTGGCCATGGTGGCTCTCCCTCGTCAACACATAGATCGCGCAGCTTGGTCGATAGGAGGAGGATTGTCGCATTCCTTTCGAAAACTACTGGCGGCTTCTGTAGCATTGAATCTGTGCAGACTGTTGGCCAAGCTCTATGGACACGCCCGATTGTTGGCTGATCTGTTGGGTATTCTCCAGGCGGTCAGTCTCAGTTTTTTATGTTTCTTGACTCCCTATGTGCTGCAAACTTGGATGGTGTCACAGATCAACATTGGAGGAAGACCAGGTTCCAACTTGCTACCTGCTCTTTATGGAAATGGAGTTCTCTCCGTTTTGGGTGTTGTGCTTTGCCGTCTGGTTCATCCCAATCTGTGGTGTATCAAGCGACTTGGAAACATCATCAGCGCGCCGCCAGTGTTGAGCACCATGGCCATGTACAACTCGGTCACATCGGTGGGTGGGCATCATCGCGGAAGAGGAACAATCATGGCACAGACAATTGTAGTCGCAGAGTATTGGTACATCATCACGCAGTCACTCTGCTTCCTGGGACTTGCCCTGGACAAGCACAGTGGAGAGGACGACTACAGCAGCTGGGATTACTGTCTCAAGGCCTTTCGAAACATTGCATTTGTTTCAGATTGGACGCGAGTTTGTGTTCATGGCATATTCATCAATCACTGGACGAGCTCTATCTTATGGCTCCTTCGAATTCTACAAACGAGACAGTTGCCGGGGACCCTGTCCTTTCTGAGAAGAAGTGAATATGGTTTCTACAAGGGCGCCCAAAAAGCCCTCGCCCCAAACCTCATAATGGACAAGACGAAGGCTATGGCGTTTTATCACCGGTGGCGTCATTGTCTCGC